GTACCTGTATTTCCGTTGTGTATTTATCACCATGATTCTGGAAAATGTAATTAGAACCCTTCATTCCCGTGAACATACATTCCCTGAATGCAGAACTAAATAGAACGACAAATCCAGCTCCGACCAAATTCTCCCAGAGAGGGATGAAATGAGAATCACATCAGTTTAATACCTTTTATTGTGAATGTTAGGGGTGTGGAGCCCAAGTGTTTAACAGCCTAGGTTACTGGACCTACTAGAATGCTTCTCACTGAATCCCAAAATAGAAAGGTAATGAAATAGTGCCTCTCCAAGAGAACCCACACAAAGCGCATTCTCTGGGGAAAATGAAGCAAGATAGAGGCAGCTGAATATTGGCATGAATATGTCAAATAGGAAAGTTAATTAAAAGTTGAAGTGAATGGAAACCCCTGCAGTATCTGCCAGCTAAGGAGGGCAGGACACAGGCACACAGCCGCATAAGAGCACTTCGCTTTCAGGGGCCCGAGGTCCTCTAACAACCAGAAAACCCTCTCAAAATTGACTCCAACTCCAACATACAAGTCCCATGTTCTTCCATTCTGCACTGGAAACAGTCTACTTTGCTAAAAGGCAGATTCTTTTTTTAATACAATCAAAAATATCCTCTTTATAAAGAACTAATAGATTGCTATTCCTGCACTAGGCAAAGAAAACAAAAAGAGAAAAAATAGGAAGTCTGGCAGTGGATATCAGATAAATTACTGCAAGCTAAAGCCATGGTAATGAACAGAGAGACAACTAATTAAATATTCTCCTTTCTAAATCCGTGACAATGAGGCACATTATTAAATACCTATATTTATATTGATAAAATCAGTGATAATACTGCTATCTTGAATTATATTATCTAAAAAAAAACCCGTTACCCTGTTACAAAAACGGCAGCTTTCCCAGTCTCCAAACTCCTTAAAATAGGTGGCCAATTATTATTTAACTTACATTCACAATAACTATTTTGCAAAGTTTTTGCCTTAGTTCAAAAATTACTAAACTCCCATTCTAAAAATGAACACCTTACATCAATTCATAACATAAAATGTCAATTAGAAAAATTACATAGAGTACATAAAATTGTTCAGTGGTATACAATATACCTTACTTAACTGAAATCAAGTTTAAATGTCCATGCCTTAAAAGTATAATTACAATGTATCATGCAACACCCTTGAATCCTCTTACTGCAGTGTTAATGCATTGTTCAACCAAGTTTCCAAACTCATTTGGAGAGTATCTTGATTGTCAAAGATGCAATGACGTGACAAAAGGGTATAGAAAGTTTTGACTCAGAGGAGTAATGTCTCATGGCCAGAAACTTAAAAAGAAGAGAAAGGCAACAGTCTCCTTGCTTTTCCAAATGATGCTACCCTCGCCACACTCTGAGCACCTCACATCTTTTCTCATTCATACTCTGAGCTCTCTAAATCAATCTTCTTTGTTGATTATAAAGATACAATCATAATGAAGGGCAACAGGCCAAGACAGCCAAAAGATATCTCCCCAAGTTGTCTACCATGCCCTGACCCATGGAAGTCCTTGCCTAGCCAGTGAAAGCCACGGGTATCGGAGGACGTCATGGTCGGTGATTGCATTCCAGAGCAGAAGAAATGCTCACCCCAGCACCTAATGCCCAGCAACACCTCACCTTCCCCTTGGTGTCAGATTACAGACTGCCAGGCAACAGTAAGAAATGACAACAAAGACATAAACAGCTGGAAATAATTACCCAATTGTCCAGCAGTAAGCATGACAAAAGCAAAGTAAGGCTTGTGAATTCAGTATCAGAAAGGATGCTGATGAGAAGGTAAGAGAAGGGTTTTAGCTTTTTCCAATTTGCTTTCAGAGAGTAGCCAATAATATGCTTGGTTGATGGGATTTTGTGTGGTGTCTGTATGTGTGAACTTCAGAGAGAAGGAAAAAATATATTTCATGGGCTCCTACAAAATGTGAGTACAAGATATGTAAGCACAAAAAAAAAAAAAAAAAAAAAAAACGCTCGCAGGCTCTGAGGAGATACTTTCAGAGTTGCTATAACTAAACTACAACAGGCAGATGAAAAATATTTCTTCACAGTTATACAAAATATTCTCTTCTTTAAAAGCATAAGCTAAATACACAGGCAATGCAATAGGCCAGAACTCTTCACATAAAACATCTGACACACAGGCAAAATGCCAAAGCAGCCTACAGACTGGTCCAGATTAAAAGAACACGAGCAAAAGAAGCAACTCCTATAAACTGAGAGGCAGGTCACAGGTATGTGAATTATCACTGTACATAAAGGCACATCATAACCTCAAGGTTTTATCAACTGCCTATAATTCAGTGAATTCCATCCCCAAATAACAGGTGAGAAAACAGTCTTTCCAAGGTTTCAGAGAATATGGCTACTGACAATTTTTAAGCCAGGCTAACCTCTGTCATTCCATTGTGGGATGATGCTTCATTACGATACTTAGATTTCATGTGACAAACTGTTTCATACAATGTCCCCAAAAATGCTACTCTCTAAAGCAGAATGCCATAAATAAAATACGTACTTGGTTACCAGGCAGCATGCATGACACATATGTTACATTGGCCCAAAAAGCACAGCTTTAAATGCTTAAAAGTTAACTTAACAATTTAAGCTTTGTACCCATTTTCAGAGAATTACCCCGAAAGGGCAATTTTATTTTCTATCTTTGAGAGAATTCTTGGATTAATCCTATTGATTTGTTAACTTGAAATTCTTTTTTATCCCCTCTAATCTCTCCTCCCCAGCCCATTTCCCCCACCCCTTTTTTTTTCCCTTGGAGGGGAGCGCAAAGGACTATATATTTCACAGTGTAATTTTAAGCATAATGCTGCCTGTTTGAATTAAAATTGATGCAGCTTCTGATAAAAGCCTAATAATCAATTCTCCATTCTCATTACTCTCCAGAATATATGGACGCGGACCAATGTCTTAAGTTTGAGGACTACTCTCATAGGTTATTACCCAGCAGTGCAGCTGAGTGGAAAGATAACCACATTCATTCTCCTTATCTGTAATGATGTAATGCATGCTAGCCCTGGGTCTAGATGATTGGGGAATAATGGGATTGTACAACTGCAGGGATGACAAACAATAGTGCAGCGTCTTTCTCCGATACACTGAACCCCAGCCTGCAGCGTGGGCAAGGTGAAAACCATCGTAACATAGGCACTGATTCTGCCCCTTGCAAGAAGTTAGCATTTTTTGGCCAGGGGAGCATCTGCTCTCACACTGAAACAGCAATACCGACACAGGGAGAAGAGCCATGCAAAAAACACTCAGTTTTCGAGCCTCGGCCAGGACAGTGCCACTGAGTATCCTGCTTTTCTTTGTGTTTAGAATCAAGTGTCATCTAAAAATAACTGGTTGGTAGGAAGAAGTCACTGGCACAGTACATTGCCAAGACACCGGAGGATCAGAGACACCTCTGATAACTGATGCTGCTCTGGGTTCACGTTTGTTTGGAAAACTAAATCTGCCTCCATTTTCTGTGCTGGAAAAAAAATCATCGCTTCCTGCCACCACAGAAATCTTACCTTTTGCAGAAGCTGGGAGCCGGAGTACTTCGCGGCGATAGATTTTATCTCTCCACCAAAAGCAGAGGCCCAGAGCTTCACCCTATAGGGAGAAAGGGCAGAGGAACAAATGTAACAGCGTGTCACAGTCAACACGCACGCACACGCACACACGGGGGCTGTGGCTGAAGGAACCGGGAGGCATAACACTGGAGGAAAAAAAAGAAAAAGCGCCTTGGTAGAAACTGCCAGCACCAAACTGCAGAGCGCACCGCGGGAGGGGGCTCGAGGGGGGGTCATATAGTTCAAAATGCGCAAAGTGCCCCCAGGCTCTCTGGAAAGATCACTAAATTTTATGGGAATCATTGCCTGAGAACTTGACCACCCAAACTGGGCATCACCTGGCAAAGATTAGTCGGAAGAAATTCACCCACCCTCTCCCGCCCCCCAAAGAAGTGAGACGGCAAGATAGCAAAGACCCCGGTAAATAAACGGCCCATGGAAGTTGGATGCGGTAAACAGGCTTCAAAGTTCGTGCTGTCACTGGCGGTGAGCCTCTCCAGGTCTCACTCGCCAGCCCGGGGAGGGGGCGAGGGACTCCCACCCCAGCCTGGCCGCCCCACGCGGGCGCGGGCCGGCAGGTGCTAGAGACGAGGCCGACGACCGCGGCAGGTCCCGTCCGGCCGCACCTGCAGGAGCCCAAACTTGGGCACAGCGGGTCGCGGGCGGCCGGGATCCCCTCCCCGGGCGGCGCAGGACCCCGCACTTACACGGAGAGAGGGATCTGCTGCTCCGAGCGCACCACGTCCCCCAGCGCGGCGTAGAGAAGCGCGGCGGCCAGGAGCGCCCAGGGTCCCCGGGACGCGCGGCGCTGCCAGCCCAGTCCGGCCATGCTGGGCTCCCTCCGACGCGCCGGCAGCAGCGACAGAAGCGGCCGCGGGGAGCTGCGCCGAGCGGGCGGTGGGCGAGCGCGCTGGGCTGCCTGCTCCGCGCCGCCCCGCCTGCCTCTCGCGCGCCGGGCGCACTTGGGGAGCAGAAAAAGGAGCGGAGCGGGGCGGGGTGGGGGGCGGAGGGCGGAGAGGAGGAGGGAGTGGGGAGAGGTGGAGAGGGAGGCAGGCGGGGGAGGAGGCAGGGAGACGCGCCTCTCGCAGCGGCGGCCGCCCGGCCCCGCCTCGGCGGCCCCGGGAGTCCGGCGGGCCGCGGCGGGAGGGCGGGAGGCGCCGCGCGGGCGGGGACTTGCAAACTCGCGTGTCCTTGGCCGCGGCGGAGCGCGCCCTGCCCCGCCCGGCCCACTGCGGCCGCCGAGTTCTTTACAACTCCGCAATCCGCCGCCGCGGGCGCCACTCTCGGGCTGACCCCCGGCCGGACCCAGCGACCCCGCACCCCGAGCTGGTTGGAGATGGGGGGTGTGGGGAGCCGCGCGGGCTGGAGGCCAGGGCCCCCTGGCTGGGTCACAGGGTGCTGAGGAGCGCAGAGGTGGCGCGACCCCCGGCCCCGCCGCGCAGTTTTCCGGCGGGCAAGGGGTGCGAGGAAGAGGCCAAAGTCTGAAGCAGGGGCCGGGGCTCGCGGCGGAGTACTGAGTCGCGCGGGGTGGAGTGCGGCGGCGATGGCAGCGGGGCTCGGCGGTCAGGCGCGGGCACTGCTGCGTGGCCGCCTGCCGCCGCTCCTCCGGTCGCGGCGCCGACCAGGGAAGGCGCGGAGGGCGGCGCTGCCGGCGCGGCGCGGCGCGGGCTCACGAGCGCGGGGCTCCGAGCTTCGGGCCGCGGCGGGGCCGGCTTGGCGCGCCCGAACCCGGGCCGGGCTGCAGAACAGCTCGCGCTCTGACCCGCGGAGGCCCGGGGTCCGCGCGACTGCAGCGGCCGGCGGGGCGGGGAGGGGCGGCACTGCGGCTCCGGGTCCATCCTGACTGGCGGACTCCCTAGATTTCGGGAATGAGGGAGTCCTCCGAAGCTCGGGGATTCACCATCTCCCCACTCGGACCCCCACCCGCTGGGTAGGAGGCGCGGTCGTGCGGGCGGAGGCAGGAAGTCGGGGAAGCCCCGGGCGCCTGAGGAACCAGGCTTCCCCGCGGCCTCTCCCGCTGCCACCCCCAGCCCGCGACCCGTCTCTCGGAGCCTCGGCTCCGGCTGAGGTCTGGGTGTGTGCCTGGGAACTTTGTGGGGCCCTCGCGCCGACCGGCTGTGGAGACCGACCCGAACCGGGCTGAGTCATCCTCGACTCGCCGAGCGCAACTCGACTGACCCCGGGCAAGCCGCGCGCTCCTGATACCGCGGGGTCTCCGGGGGCTTCCGCCGCCTGGGTTGCCTGGTTTGCGGGACTCCCCCTACAGGGCTTTGGGCTCTCTTCCCCGTCACCCGCCTTCAGCCTCACCGCCCTCAGCTCTCCGGGGAGAGAGCGAGGGTGGGCTCCAGCTTCCGCCTGGTGGTGTCGGGCGACAAGCCAGGCGGGCTCTCCTGCCCAGCACCCCCGCCAAAAGTTACCCCGGCAGACGTGGGTCTGGATCTCACAGTTGGCTGCGCAGGGAGAAGGACCGCGCAGGGGCCTTGGTGTCTCTGCCGAGTGCGGAGGAGCCCCGGCTCTCGTGGGCGGGTCGTGCCCCCACCTCGGGGAGCAGCTCAGGGAACAGGCCCCACCCGGGAAGCGCCAGGTGCTTCCCGCCCACGGGCGGCGTCTACAATCTCCACGGATGACTAACCGGTTATAATGAATTCTCCGCTTCTGTGCACACCTCCGATCTATGGAAGTGTGCTGGCAGTTCCAAACCGAGAAGAGCGCGGCCTGACCCCCGGGCAAAGGGTCCGGATGACTTTGACGCTCGCACTGGGGGCGGGAGAAAAATAATTTTCCTGTCATATCCCAGGCGCCTTCTTTCTAAATGAGTAAGTGTGTAAGTGAGTGAAAGCATACTGGCCCTTATTTGTAAGCCTACAATCCACTGCCACTGTAATATCTATATGATAATGGCCTTCAGGCATTCCCTTATTCATCCAGTGAATAACTGCCAAGCATCTGTGATAGGACCATCGGGTGTACCAGGGACCCGACGGTGAACGAATCATACACATCCCCTCGAGGATTTTATACACTATCAAAGGGAAAAGGCTTTACTCCAAAAGCCATAATGATAAATGCATATAGTTTGACAAGAGGTCAACGGTAGTATGCATGAAGAAAAAGTTCCTGAAATGTTCATATTATTGCTATCCCTATTGGGAGAAAATTGAGGCACCCTAAAATAATACAGCTTAGTCAAACAACCACTAGACTGCTGGACTATATTGAGGACCGCTTGGGCACCAGGGTCATGACAACAAATTATGATGAAAGCCAGTCATATGCAGGTGAACACTGCAGCCATTTCAGGGCAGCTGGAGATGAACCAGGAGAGGAACCCTGGCACAGGAATCCACAGTCCCACAGAATCAGAGCATCTTAAACCTTTGTAACTTACACACGGACCATCTTAAACAGAGCATTGCGTCCAATGCTTTTAAAATAGATCCCACTAAACACTTCCTGTTGCTGCTGCTGCTGCTGCTAAGTCGCTTCAGTTGTGTCCAACTCTGTGTGACCCCATAGGTGGCAGCCCACCAGGCTCCCCATCCCTGGGATTCTCCAGGCAAGAACACTGGAGTGGGTTGCCATTTCCTTCTCCAATGCATGAAAGTGAAAGTGAAATCCCTCAGTCATGTCTGACTCCCAGCGACCCCATGGACCGCAGCCTACCAGGCTCCTCAGTCCATAGGATTTTCCAGGCAAGAGTACTAGAGTGGGTTGCCATTGCCTTCTCTGAAACACTTCCTACTCTCTCTCTCAAAAAACAATATTTAAACTATCTGATATTGATAAGAATTGGAGCTCAAAGTCACAAATTTGAAGTCCTATCAGTTTCAAACTCTATCATCCCATCCAGAATCATAAAAATGAATGCCAGCTGTCTAGCCCCATATTCTGATTTAACAGAGGAGACCCAGAAATGTTTAGCCAATTATTCGAAAACACACAGCCACTTAAAGGAGGGTCTCCAAACCACAGCAGAGGGTTTGTGCAGCCACATCAGGACAAGGGACCAAGAAAGGCTTCAGATATGCCAAGTGCAGCCCCAGGCATCAGGTCCTACTTGTCATTTTCACCCAAAAGCCTATATTTCCACACCCAACTCTCCATGAAGCTTTGAATCCAGCCAATAAACATTTCATTGACAGACCTGCAGACTCTTATTTAAGGAGGGTTTAAGCAGAAGTGGAACATGATGAAATGCAAGAGGTGCAAGTTTTAGAAATGCTCACCCAGTCCTGGTCTAAGGAATGGATTCCAGAGGAGACCCAAAAGCAGCTGTTCTTAGAACCGGAGAGGGCCTATTGAATGGTTGGGACTTTCTCTATTTGTCACAGTGACTTGGAATCCTACTGGCATTTCTTGGATGAGAACAGGACAGTCCCACACAAGGAAGAATTATTCCATGTCCCACCGGACTCTCAAAGGACCCACTGGACATTCAGGTAGGACAAAAATCTGCTTATAATCACCTGATTCTAGAACTTATTTAATATATAAATATAAAGAAGTTTTTGCATGGTTTTAAAAAAACAGTGGATTTTCCAGGAATGCAACTACAGTATAAATAAAAAGAACATTGTCTTCTGTTTGTTTAGAATCTTAGCAAGAGGGCTTTGGTTGGTTGGTTGTGTTTTACCATTTTGGAAAAACACTTCTCCAACTGTAGCTGTGCTCAGGGTCCCAGGTCACCAGTAGAGCCCCTCTATGTCAGTCTACACTGGGGTGTGGAATTCCTAATCAGCCTGCATATAGGGGCAAGTCCATGAGCACTCATAGTGAAATGCTTCTTATTTTAATATAAATAATATTTATAAATATAAATAATATTTAAAAATAATATTTAATATAAACAACATTTTATTTACCTTTGATATTATCAGATGAAGCATCATATTGATTTTTTTGTTTTTTAAAAAATAATTTTATATATTTCTGATTCTGCTGGCTTTCTCACATTGCTGTGAGCTGGCTTTCTGTAGTTGCAGCAAGTGGGGGCTACTCTCTAGTTGCAGTGCACAGGCTTCTCATTGCAGTGGCTTCTCTTGTTGCAGAGCATGAGCGCCAGGGCAAGCAGGCATCAGTTGTTGCGGCTCATGGGCTCTAGAACACAAGCTCAGTAGCTGTGGTGGACGGGCTTAGCTGCACCACAGTACATGGAATCTTCCCCAATCAGGGATCGAACCTGTGTCCCCTGCATTGGCAGGTGGGCTCAACTATTGGACCACCAGGGAAGACCAATTTTTTTGTTTTAATTATGACCTTGAGTAGTTTATATTGTCTCAGAATTTCATATCAGAATGGTAAAAGGGGGTGAAGATCTACTGCGCTATATTAGAAACACAAGGGAAAGGCTGTGATGTTGCTGGTGGTGATACAAAATGGTTCACCCTGAAGAAGCAAAATGACAAATGCTTTAACCTTTGACCCAGAAGTCCCTCTTCTGGGAATTTATCTTACAATTGCTAAATGATGTTCATATGCAGTTATTCATCACCGCATTATCTCTAAGAGCAGAAGTCTGGAACCAACCCAACTGGCTATCAGTACATATTTGGTTAAAGAAACTGGTGCACCCACACAGTGGAATATTATGCAGTTTTAAAAATGAGAATGCTTTCTACATGTAAATGTGAAAAGATCTTGAGTATATTAAATTTTTTATAAAAAGCAAGGAAAAAAAGAAAAGGCAAGGTACATAGCAATGTGTATGACATTGCCTTTCTGTAAGAAAGAGGAAAATAAGAATAGATATTTTTATTTGCTTCAGAAAACAATGGAAGATACACAAGAAACTACTAATAGTTACTCCCTGTTGGAAATTAGGAGGAACAGAGTAGATGGGGACAGGATTCAGAGTGACATTTCACAATGTTTATCACTTTAAACCATTTTGATTTTTAAGCCTTGTGGATGTATTACTTATTCAAAACACTAAGAAGACAAATATTAATAGCTCTTAAAACAGTTTAGACACTGCGGCCAGGGCTGGAGTGGAGGAAGTAGTTGTTGGGATGGAATGTGAGAGACACTTAAAGTCCTTGATGCCCTACAGAGGTGGTTCTCAAACCCTCAGAGGTTGCGATTCTGTAGGCTCAAGTTGGGTTAGTAGGTGGAGGAGGATCTTTGTTTCTAATAACACCTTCAGAGGATTCTGATGCTGATGCTGGTGGCCATGGACCACCATTGGCAATCATCCAGTTTCTTTTACATGAAATGTAGTGTGGAGCCTGGTGGCATTATGGACTTTGGGTTCAAACAAACTTATGTTCAAGTCGTGGCTCACCCTCACATCAACAGGGAGAATTGGGCAAGTTACCCAACCTCTCTGAGCCATGCTTTTTCAACCACAAAAGATGGATAACGATAGCACCAGAGAGCAGACCTCACACAGACATAAAGATGCACTGGGACAATGCAGCTAAGAATTCAACAAATGTTCATTACTGCTTCCATTCTGCAAATACAGCAAGATTTCCACACCTGGGCCATTTCCCTGGCTTACCAAAAAAAGTGTGCCTTATTCTTACTCAGAGTGTCAAAGCTTCCTGCTTCACCATCAGCATCCACACATATACACTCACACAGAACCCACCTCTCCATCACTACCACACTGCCCAGCCCACCCTGCTCTCCCCATCCTCCATAAAGACATCCCTTCCCTGCACCCCTCTCAAATACGCTCCTTCTTCCCATGGTAGCCGAAGCCATCTTTTCAAAAACAAAAATCAAACCATAGTCATTCCCCTGCTCACAATCCTCCAGTGGTTTCTGTTTTTAATTAAAATGCAGGTTGCTTGCCAAGGCACCCAAGGCCCTGACTGCCCCCCTCCTTTCTCAGCCT